AAGGGGATGATTATCCTAATCCTATAATGATTAGGATAACTACAACATATGGATAAATACAAGGGAGGATAATGACAAGTCTTGGCCGCCTGGTATGGATAAGGATAAGGTGCTTGTCGCCTGGTCTTGGACTGAAGTGAGACTGATGTGGTCTGGTCCATTTCCGGATATGTCCCAACCATCATTTCTCAACATTATGCTTTTTGTGTAAGATTTTTTAACAAAAGTTATCTATTTTCTCTTTAGATCAAAATCAACTTTTACCACTCTTGGACATTGACTACTCTTATTTTCGTATAAAAATTCATATCAATCAATTGAAAAGCAAAAAATATATATATATGGAAAATACAAACATGTATTTGTATTTATGAAAAAAAAATTGTGATGAAATTATTGTGGAAAGATTAATTTCGAAATGGATATTAAGGATGACAGTAGACCTAATCTAAATATGTAGCTTGCGTTTAATAATCTGAATATGTAGCTTGCCATATATTAGCATTTGATTATGCGTATAGATGATATATTAACTAGGTGTTGTGCCCGCATATGCGGGCATAATTTTCTTAGGAATATTTATTATTTATTATTTTATTAATTTTAAAATAATATTATAAGTTATTTTTATAGTCTTAAAAAACCTAAATCAAACATTAAAAAATGTTATATGAATTTTCATCAAAATATATATGCTTATTATAGTGTTGAAAAACATCCACATAATAAAATATTTGGAAAATATATTTATATTTTTTCTTAATATTTAATTTTAAATTGTTTTATAACTAAATTTTTATAATAGAATGATATTATTTTCAAAAGCCATTATCAATTATATATAAAATTAAGATATATAAGCATTATCATGTTGTTACAATATTATATTCAGATGATAATAACATATCTAAGAATTATCTTATTTTTGAATTTTTTATAAACTTATTATATTAATTATTCTAAGTTATCTAAGATAATAACATACTAATCTAATTTTATTTTTTTAAATTTCGCTTTTAATTATAAAATTAGTTATATATAAAAGTTTTATTAAGGGTATAATCGATATTAACCACTCCAACTTTTAACGTGAGAGCTCCGTTGTGAAAAATCATTTCGCAAATAATAGTATAGATATGAATGATGTTCAGAGTGATGCTTGACATTTCCGAGAAATTCAATGATTGTTGTGTGTACAGGATCCATGCTTAGAAACAAATAGATTCTAGATGATTTCAATAAACACAGAAGATTTATAGTGCTTATAATTAAATAATTCTGTAAATGAATAAATTTAATGATGGTTGTGTGTACAAAATCCATGCTTATAAACAAATAAAGCACAAGATTTATGGTGTTTGCACTAATTTTACTCTATTGATTCATACCTGTGAAAAAAGCAGATCATGGAGTTTATGAAGCACAAACTACATGTCCCACGAGCATGGAGGTGTTACCTCACACTTTATGCACACTCAATATTTTACTTGATGAAATGATTGAAAAGTGGTGTCAAACACACCGATACGAGATGCCATACCAACTGATGAACTGATGAAGACATGGAAGTGAAGTTTGCTGTTGAATCTGTTCAACCAACGAATGGGAAAATTGCTACTAAAGCTCAACCAACTGATGACGATGATGATGATATGAAATTAGATATTGATGTTCAATCCGTTGAATCATGAGAATTGAAGGTTTTTTTTCCATAAAAAAATACATTATTTAAAACAAAATAGTTATAAAGCTAACAACACAAACAACGTTATCTGAAACAAAATACGCATAAAACTTAATACAAACCATCAAACCACATTATGCAAAACCAAAACAAACCTAATAGATTAACCAATTTAACAAACCTCTTCAAATCTTTCTTTTGGTAGAAACCACCACTAATGCATGCGTACACCCATCAACCATACCAAACGCATAGCTGGGAGGTGGGAGACCTCTGGATTCTGAAGCACTTACCTTTTCAAATGGAAGTTTCGCGCACCTGAATAGCACGAGTAAGAACATACACAAGTAAGTCCAGCAAATCCTAAGAGGGTGGGTAAGCTTTGTGGCTGCTTCCAGCTTTGCTGAGATCATAACTCCAACGAATAAAAAGGCATCAGAAAAACATAGCACATCACTGAAATCCAGTAACTTGCATAGATTGGCAACGTTTAGGTAGCCGCTTAGAAAAGATGCGATGGAGAAGCCGTTGATGTCGTCGACCTTATCGAGTTTGTTGCCAAAAAACACAAAGGCGCGAAGAACCAGTATGATACCTGCACCGCGGAGACAGAATAAGACGAGTTTGTATCGAGTACGAACAGCTCGGCGGAGAACCCTGAACAAGTCTTTGTCAAACCCCAGATATGGTGGCCAACACAAGAAGAGACATGTAAATGTAGAGGTATGTCGCGGACAAGGTCAGTGCCACAACAAAAAAAAGGGAGATGCGTTTGGCGTCAGGGTAGAGAAAATAGTGACACCCACGATGCTTATGGCAGTTTGAAACCTGAGAAGACTGTCGGTTTTGTAGAAAGCACCGATCTTTTTCGCAACACCCTGGAGGAAATTTTCTGCTGGTGGGAGTGGTTCAAGACTTCGAAAGGGTGTGACCTGATCAGCCATGGCGGCAGAGAGAGAGAGAGAGAGAGAGAGAGAGAGAGAGAGAGAGTCTCTCTCTCTCTCTCTCTCTCTCTCTCTCTCTCTCTCTCTCTCTCTCTCGGAGAGAGAGAGAGAGAGAGAGAGGGCTGAGAATTGAAGGTTGCTAACCAAACTAATCTATACTATTATTTGCGAAGTGACTTTTCGCAATGGAGCTCTCACGTTAAAAGTTGGAGCGGTTAATATCTATTTTACTCTTAATGAAATTTTTATATATAACTAATTTGATAATTAAAAACGAAATTTTAAAAAAAAATTAGATTAGTATGTTATTATTTTAGATAACTAAAAATAATTAATATAATAAGTTTAAAAAATAAAAAAATAAATTAATTCTTATATATGTTATTATTATCTGAATATATAATATTGTAACAACATGATAATGCTTATATATCTTAATTTTATATATAATTGATTTTGGCTTTTGAAAATAATATCATTCTACTATAAAATTTAAAAATTAAAATATAAAAATCGATTTTAATTATTAATTAAACAAAAACTTTTGTATAAAGATACTTTTATTTATATAATTAAATATTAGATATTGAAAATTGGAACGGTTCAAGTTAATGATACCTTTAATGAAATTTATATATTTATATATAAATTAGTTAAAAAAAGAATTTTATGTTAGTGATAGAAATTTATATGTTATTATATTAGTTAATTTATTATAAATTAATAGGATAATTATTCACATTCATGCATATTTAAAACATAAGATATCTTATAGAATATTATACAGTTATCTGGAAATAATTTTTTATTATGAAAAATAAAAAATGTAAGTTATAAAAAAATTTAAAATTAAATATTAAGAAAAAATATAAATATATTTTCAAAAATATTTTATTATGTGGAGGTTTTTCAACACTATAATAGGCATATAGATTTTGATGAAAATTCATACAAAATATTTTAATGTTTGATTTAGGTTTTTTAAAACTATAAAAAATAACTTATAATATTATTTTAGAATTAATAAAACAAAAAATAATAAATACTCGTAAGAAAATTATGCCCGCATATGCGGGCTCAACACCTAGTAAATCAATATTTGTGACGATCTTGGATTGTTTCATGATGTTTGGTGATCACTTCATACATGTACCAATAGGAAAATATTAAATACTTTTTAACTAATAAAAATTATCAAAATAAATCCATTCAATTAAATATAGATCATAAAAAACTTTAAATTATTTTTAACAAATTAATTTCAGATTAAATCTCCATTTACAATTTCGGCAAATGCAAATGAAAACCATTAAAAATGACGTGTTTAACTGAATGGCTAAATATTTTTTCATTTGCATTTGCTGAAATTGTAAATGGAGATTTAATATCGTTTTGTTAATTGTTTAATTGCATTTTCATTTAACATAAAATAACATGTAACAAATTCCCATGACTTGTACATTTTGTCTGAATATAATATTTGTACTTCAAGTGTCTTTGGATCATTATTTTTTCTTGTTACCATCATCGATCATATGATCATTAGGTAACTCATTTGCAGATGCCAGCATTAAATACTTAACATTAAATATCTTGGCTTGTTTGTCAAGTAAAAGAACCTCCAATGGTTAGCCCTAAAATCGAAGGCATCATAGCAGAAATATATTTACCAAACTAGTTTATAGATATACAAATGTACATAAATTCATGAATCTCAAATGTGATCTACTCTGAAAATCTAAAATACAGCAAACTCTCCCATGTTTTCAAGAGGCTACGAATCTTTTTAGAATCTCTCCTTCATGATCCTATCTCTATGGCAAGATACCTTTTTGTGTCAAAACATATATATACATGATCATGTGGCCATAGAAATCGCTAGTGGCATCTCACTTTCATGTGAACCAACGCTAGAAGTTGACATTCGTTTCTTTGATTGGTTCCCTTCCATAGACACTAGAACTTGGCCTTGTGGATGAGCTATAGCCTCTGGATCATTATCATCAAGAGGCTCTAGAGATTTCTCAGGAGGGTCAAGATCCTGTGGCATGGACTCTCCACTCGCATTGTTATTATTACCACCCGATCCAATGACCATCCTAAATCCAAAAGTGCGTGATATGATGCGGTATGCAAAGGTGAGGATCCAAAAGAACCAAGGGAGACAAACAAAGAAGATGCCGAGGTAAGAGAGCCATAATGGAGGGTAAGGGAGGATTGTGTATGCAATAAGACAACCGCCTCCGACAGCAATGGACAAGAAAAGAAACAAGGTAATGAGACAGATGAATGCTCTCCCCGCCTGTGGATCTGGCACAGGCATTGTTCTTGTAATGAAAGATCGATCTCAAAGATGAAGAAGGATCAATGAACGTTTAAGGGTATTACTATATCATCCTCCATTTACAAGTTTGATATGTTGAGGATGATCAGCTTGAACCAAGAATAAACCGAATAAATCACACACAAATTAACAAAAAGAAATAGCGTTGAGGGGGAAAGAAACCACAAGAGGATGTGCTTTGTTTTGTTTGTGTGCGACTTATAATTTGACAAGAATAGCCATTAGTCATTTGCCAATCCATAGGAGAGGGACGTCCGTAGATAAAGGACCTATAACTTTGAATAACGTTGGATTAAAATCATTTTAAGCTTTTTGCAATCTTGATTATTCACAGAGGTGATATTGATTTGATATGTCCTCAAACTTATATAATTACAAGATGAAGTGCGACGAAACTTTTACTATATTTATCATCAAAATGCAATAGACTTTTATAGTTTTGGAAATTTTCTTTCTAATATTTAATGTGGGACATGGCAAAGACGATAATGCTTGCAAATAAACTAATTCTAAATATATGTTTATTTATCAAACAAAAAAGATGTGTATTTTTCAGTTTTTATTTTTTATAGAGTGGATCTTTCTTTATCCCTTAGCTTTGCTTGGTCGTCTTGATCGGATTCGTAGTATGCTTCTTCACAAGCGGGACAAGAGTATACATCGATGAATTGATGTCCATCATTAATTATTTGATATGTTTGTTAACATTCAAAGCATAAATTCAGGAAATTTATATCACTCTGCTTGCTCTTAACCGAATTTTTGAAGCCTTGTTCTATTCTCAAAGCCCCAACTAAAATTGCAATATGTGAATATATTTCCGATTGAAACCAAGGCTTTTATTCATTCAAAAAGTTTTTAAAGCTTAGTTGATTTCATATGTATAGGATATTAGGATTAAGATAAGATTTTGCATTTAATTTAAGTTAGATTACCATGAGTGGGCTTAAAAACATTACTGACTAGTGACTACAAAAATGGCAAGTTAACTAGGGAGTGACTGGTGTTTCAAAAAAAAAAAAAAAAACTAGGAAGTGACGACGAGAACCACGTGGCAAATTCTCCATCAACAGCCGTCACAAGAATAAACAAATAACGGGACCCACAAAATATACCAAAAACTACTGGCTCTTCGCCAGCGATAAACCCTGAAATGACTAAAATATCCCTCTATTCAACGGCAGAAGCGGTGGGATACAATGCACCTTCAAAATAACGACAGCGCGTGTCATTACAACCGCGGCAAACACGCGTCGATATCCTCTTTTTCCCCAATTTAATTTAGGGTTTGCTGATTGAATAATCAAAATCCTCTCCGTGAAAAAAAAAAAGTTTCCGACTTTCGTCTCCTTCTTCGCGATTCCGTGATCTAATCGACTTATCCGATTCTGGGTTTTCGTTAATTCGTGTTTTAGATGGTGGAAATGAGGAGATCGGAGTCTGAATCGACGTCAAATCGCCGAGATGAGTTTCCGGTGAAATTAGAGATCGTGGAGGATGAATTGGAAGAAGAACACGCTCCTCTCAACAAACGATCTAGGGTTTGTTCTTTCTCTTCGAATTGATTGTAAAGTTACCTTTTTTTATTAAATTTATGTGATAACGATCTAGGGTTTGTTCTTTCTCTACGAATTTGATTGTAAAGTTTACTTTTTTATTAAATTTATGTGATAACGATTTAGGGTTTGTTTTTTCTCTGCTAATTTGATTGTAAAGTTTACTTTTTTAAATGAAATTTATGTGATAACGATTTAGGGTTTGTTTTTTCTCTGCTAATTTGATTGTAAAGTTTACTTTTTTTAATGAAATTTATGTGATAACGATCTAGGGTTTGTTTTTTCTCTGCTAATTTGATTATAAAGTTTACTTTTTTAACGAGATTTATGTGATGAATTGATGATATAATGTTTTTCCAGCTAATGGTGCCAGCAGCTAAGTATAATAACCCTCTTGATGAGCCGAGTCCTCTTGGACTAAGCCTTAGGAAGAGTCCCTCTTTGTTGGATTTGATTCAAATGAGGCTAACACAGAGTGGTGATTCAAAAGCTGAGAGGGTGCAAGGAGGTGGTGTTAAGAAGGAGAGTAGATGTAACACTGATGGATCAGGTGGAGGGGTGTTAGCTCCTGGGAGTATTGAGAAGCTGAAAGCTTCTAATTTTCCTGCTTCAGTTTTAAAGATTGGGAAGTGGGAGGTGAGGGAGGTTGTTTTGTACTTCAATATAATACATATTCTAGATTTTTTACATATATTAATAAAACATCTAATAAATGCTCAAATTTTTGTAATTATCTTTTTCTCATAATTTTAAACCAGTAAGTGCAATTAAGTTTGTTAAAATTTACAATAAATATTCATTGAAAATACAAAATATGAATTTTTTTTGAAACTAATTTTTTTCCTAGAATATGTAAACTTAATGAAACAAGGGAGTATATATGTTTGATGGTGGTTTCAAAATCTGAGTTGATTCTTTTTTGTTTGTTAGTATAAATCAAGGTATGAAGGTGATTTGGTGGCGAAGTGTTACTTTGCAAAACATAAACTTGTTTGGGAAGTGTTGGAGCAAGGTCTCAAGAGTAAAATTGAGATCCAGTGGTCGGATATTGTGGGTTTAAAGGCTAACTGTCCTGAAGATGGACCTGGAACTTTGACTCTCTTGGTACAATTCTTCTCATTCAGACATTGGCACATCCTAGGCCCTTGTTTGACTCTGATCTATGGTCTCTTTTTTTTTTCAGCTTTCTAGGCAGCCATTGTTTTTTCGGGAAACAAACCCACAGCCTAGGAAACATACTCTGTGGCAGGCAACATCAGACTTTACCGATGGTCAAGCCAGCTTGTACAGGTACATTATATCTCTTGTGTCCTCTCCTCTTAGGAGGAAACGTATTCGTGTAACTGAAAAAAAGCATTTTGTGACTGAATAATTTTGTTATCTGTTAGGCAGCATTTTCTGCAATGTGCTCAAGGTATAATGAACAAACATTTCGAAAAGCTTGTGCAATGTGATCACCGCCTGTTCTTACTAAGCCGTGAGCCAGAGATAGTTATGGACTCTCCCTACTTTGATGCTCGGCAATCTATCTTTGAGGATCCAAGTGAATCAAAGGGATATACTTATGGGAATTTGAATCTCATTAGCTCAGGTCCTTCAATAGCATCTCCTGTTGGGGCTCAGTCATCATCTGAACATATGTATCTCTCTCATGAAGCACCATCCCCCAGCTCAGGTACTGTGATAACTGCACGCTCTAGTTGCTTTCATAGCTCATTATTTAGAGCCAAAGTAAGATCGTGTACTTGTTTGTTTCATTAATCTCTAGTGATAGATGCTCGTTCAAATGAAGGAACTGGTGGTGCTGAAGCAGTCAACTCAAGAAACACAATGGATTGTGGACTACACAAATCTATCTCACTAAGTGATTTCCTTGCAGTTATCTGTGATACAAAAATCACTACGGATTCGAATCAGGTTGAAGAAGCATCTGGGCTAAACCAATCTATGTCAGTGAGTGATTTGGTTACACTGTTATCTGATTCAAGAAACATAACTGAATCAAGTCAGATAAAAGTACCTGGACTACAACAATCAATATCAGTTAGCGATTTCGTTGGACTTCTCTCTGATCCTACTGGTGGAAATCAACCGGAACATATGGAGAAATTTGAGATCTTGAAACAGCAGTTGTTAAGTGATAATATTCAGTTCGATACACCAGATGAGAAGTCTCTCATGCCAAGGGTTAACTCTTTATTCAACCTCTTGTACAAGGATCCCAACGTTGCTGCAAACTCACAGCTCAATACTGAAACCTCTAAGGGATTCAAGTCTGAACTCCATGACCTGAATGGGACAGTGTCTGCCAACAACAACAACAGAGTTCTTGATACTGCTTCCACCAGCAAACAACCACAGGGTATGTTGAGAAAAGACTCGTTCAGCGATTTGCTTTTACACCTCCCACGAATCACATCCTTGCCAAAGTTCTTGTCCAACATTTCAGAAGAAGGTGGTGATGCATATAAATAGAATAGATTCTGCTTTTGTTTCCAGGATTTGGCAAGTATAGGAGACCTGAACTAGTAGCCTTTCTGTTTGTTTTCCATGTAAATCAAAATTCTCTTTTGGTAACTAAAACCCCACAGGGATTTGAAAAAAAATGTGTTTTGATATTGAATTTGTGTACATCATGCATCCAGAGTGGTAGGCATTCCATTATTTATCATAAACTATCACTTTATACATAATTATATTATTCTTTTATTGCAACATGAAAAGCAAAGCAGAGTATGTACAAGGATAAAGATTACACTAAGAATCTAACATCAGTGATCATCAGCTGTACAGGAGGAGAACGAGATGAAATCAAATAGTTAAAAAGGAGAAATGAAACCCCACAAATCTGTCCGGTTATTGATTGTTATCTGAATAAAAAGTATTTACATGTCTTTTCTTCTTTTTTTGGGGAGGGGAGGAGGTTTCTTCCATCACATCAATCAGCCTTAAGAACAAGCAAAAGGATCAGGAAGCTTGTTGAAGATTAGCAGTGTCAGGAAGCATTGCTATTGTCACTATGAAGTATTCACATCCTGAAGTGAGACCATAAGGATTTGTTGCTGTTGTTGTTGTTCCTGAAGATGATGTTGACATTGAACTTGATGCCTGCTTCACTGCTTCACGCTCAATGTGGACAATCTGTCCAACAATGTATGTAGGCCGGTTAGGGAGGTGGTCTGTGAACAATGCCTCGGATTCAGAGGACAAGTAGTAGTTTGGACAGTTTCTGTTGATCGCCTCGTAATGCCCTGCTTGATTTAACACAAATGCTGCTATCTCATGGACTTCAAGACGACCAAATGATATCTTTTCCTTATTTGCCTGTCCAACAAAACGTTCCACCAATTCAAACAATGAAACAATAACTGCTACTAGAGGATAAAAGTAAGTCTACCTGCTTGCCAAGTTGGTGCTTAGTGTACAATGTTTTCACCAGCTCTTTCTTTTCCACCAAGTCCTTTCTCGTCTGTTCAATAGTAGCATCAAGCTTTCGGCACTTTTCAAGTAACTCCTCCCTGTGTTTGGAAAGGAAGCTAACTTTGTCTGCAAGGACTCGGATGCATTTCCGGAACTCAACGGTACCATCATCTTCATTGTCATTAATGGAGCTGTGAAAATTCACAAGTAGGACAAAAGCTTGAAAAGTAGATCAAAGGACTATAGTTTTTGGAAAGCAATGATACAGACAAGAAACTTACTTGTCTAAAGCTTGAGCCAAAGTACGCAAGGAGTCACCAAAACCAGCAACCCCACCACCAGCACAGACAGAGCTTCTGAATCTTTCAAAGAGACCACGTATATTCACAGATGAGGCACGAAGTGCATCATACTGAGACGCTCTACGATCAGCAGCACAGAGATGTGTTTGTGCTTCTTCTCTTGCTACATGTAAGCAGTTCTCCAAATGTGCACAGTTCATCTACAACCAAAAAAAGAATTACTTACCACATCAGAAGGAAACATTCCAGAGAAAAAAAAAAGAAGATTAATAGATGCAAAACCTGGGATTCTTCGAGAAGTTTCTGATTCATTTCCAACTCTCTGCTCAGACTAGCTACCTCTTCCATAGCACCATTTAGCTTGGACTCTGTTTCATTCAGTTTACTAGACTTCTCCACCAGCTCATTTCTAAGTTCCAAAATAATATCATCATTGTGTTTGGTATCTAAACCTATGGCAGTTTCCACATTATTACCCAGAGACTTTGTTGGGCTCTCGGCTGTTGAACTGTCACTTAGAAACACACCCATTTCCCCCACCATATTATCCTTTCCACCTTTCTCATTGTTTTCCAGCATAGATGAATCAAGAGGATGACTCAGAACCAGAGAGGAATCCACCATATTCTCATCCATACCTTCCCTACCTTTACATGGCTGCTTGCTAGAAATATTTGAAACACATGAGACCTCATCCATTGGCTCCAAACCAGCTACATGAGCTTTGTTGTTGCCTTCCAAAGCACCTGAACCTTCTCCTTTGTTCTCACTAGCTTTAACTTGTCTCTGTCCCTGTGAATACTCATCGTTGAGACGTTGTTCCAGTTCACGGATGCGCTTCTCATATGAATCACAATGCCTTTGTTTCTCCTTGAGCATAGATAGGAGATGTTTCCCGTATTCATCTTTTGCCTGCAGTGCCTCTTCTGTTTTCTCAGCTGCATTTTTCAACAAATTTTCTATGTTACTTTCATCTATCTCCTCATATTCAACTTGAGGGCCTAATGAACAAATCCGAGAGATTGCAGAAGCAAGTTCAGCTTTTAGTTTTGCGTTCTCAACTTCCATCTTGCTGGTTCCAGCTATCTCTGAGGCCTCTAGGATATCTTCAAAACTGTCTTTGTCTATCTCCTCAGCCTCAGCAGAAAACGAGCTATCAATCTTTGACTGTAACCCAACTAGATACTCAGGAGCATATCGATCAACGTCAGCAATTTCAATATTGATCAAACTAGTATCATAAGGAGAGACATTAACATCACACTGACTAGGACTATCATATAAACCCATTGAGGCCAACACATCACGAGGTACGAAGGGACCATGTGTTTTAAGAAACTCTTCACGTTGTCTGACCTCTGTTTCCCTCTTCATAGCAAGCTTCTCCGCCAACTGCCCAGCCATGCCCATGTAAAGCTTCATAGAGGCTTTTCTTCTCACTACCTCTGCAAGGCAAGCTCTATAAGCCGGGCCAACACCACGGATTAACTTCAGGTCTGCAAACAAGTCGTCCTGACGCACCATTGCCTCTCTAAAAACGGGGAACTGTAACTTAGCGTCTTTGATGATGTATGTGACGAATGTTATCTTTTGCATGTAGCTGTGTACAAAGTTGTTCATCTCATTCTTCTTGTTCTTGCAAAAGTCAAGGAGTTCTGAAATGGAGTTGTAGCAAGCCTGCATCTGGGGAAGGTGATTCTTGTCATGCACTTCGTACATAGGACCCAGGGCTGAAACAGCATCATGAGGTCGGAGAGATGAGGAAAATTGGCTAGACATGCAATCATCCACAAGCTTCTTAACCGTGTTGACATCTTTGCTGTTTCAAGATTCATAAAAACACCGTCAGATATCAGAGATTTTCATGTGTAAAAAGAGGAATTAGTCATGGGCATATTAACCCGAAACCAAACAAAAAAAAACTAAAACCGATCAGGTATCTGAATATTCGAAATATAATAAATATATCTTTTTGGTTTTTTGGGGTTTAACTCGGGTTTCCGGGTTCTTTTAGATTTGTGGCTTTAAACCCGAACTATTTCTAATTCAGTTACACTTCAGTTTTATAAAAGAATAGAAACCCGACCCAAACCCAACATTACATGAACCGATTGGATCCAAAAGCCGAAATCTGAATAACCAGAACCGAAACCCAAATGCTCAGCACTAATTTGGATTGACTAAAGACCAACATAAAATTTCCCAATAGAGACAAATGAAAAAGAGTTCCTAGTTTACTAAGTGAACAAACCTGAGAGATTGCATTATGCTACTTTGCTCATTAATGAAGTGTTCATACTCCTTAACAGTCACTTCCAAGTCCTTCATCGACAACGAAGAAGCCCTGCAAGCAAACAACTCCTCCACCTTGTGCTTAACCTCAACAAACATCTGCTGGAACTGCCCAATCTTATTCTCAAACTGCCTGTGAGAGCTTCCACAACTCTCCACAGCCCTTTTCAAGTTATCTTCCTTGACAAAATCCAACAAACATCTCCTCGAATCGGTTTGCAGGTAAGGATGAATCTTCACTGACCTCAGTTTCTCAACATCTCTTCCAAAATTCATCAGCAAATCAGAGTGAACACGGTGCTGGTGCTTGTAACGTTTCATAAACTCGAGAAAGTTCTGATAGATCACTCTGTAGTACTGCTCCAGGTTCCTCGTAGCAACCTCAATGGCCCGTTCTTGTACCTTCTGCTCTCTAGCAAACCTCTCGCAGTTCTCAAGCTTCATGACCGTACAATTGTAGATAGTACGGCCTTTAAGGAAATGGTAACGGAACTGCCTCTCGTAAGAAGGTAATGCCTTTAAAGCTGGATCTGACGCATCATCCAAGGGATGATGTTCATGCAATGAACCATCATCATCATCATCATCTGGTTCTTGTAAATATACATTTTCCGGTGACGGTGGATGAGAGTTGCTTTGCAACATAGCCTTGTTGAAAACAAACACTTCTCTATCACTTGCAGGAAGTCCAAAGGAAGAAAGCAGCTTTTGTGGCTCAAGTCTCATATCCAAAGAGAGAAGAAGCTGATCAGAGAAGGTGATACCAGACACAGACTCAACAAAACGCATCACGGATTCAACAGAAGTTGTCTCGCTGCATTCAAATGCAAATGAGTGGCCATTCTCAGCCACGCAGAGAATAAGTTTGCCTTCATCAGTGAAGCTTGCGCTCATCTTAGACTCACCTAATCAATTAGGAAACAGAGCAGAGATCTATAGAAAAAGACTAAGGCTTTCTATATCATAGATCCTTGACCAAAACAGAGATTCATCAAAGATTATACTTTTCAAGGTACCCACCAGGAAATATCCTCAAAGTTTCCAACTTTAACCCAAATCCAGAACTAATAAACTTTCCAAATTACTCAGAACAGAACAGAACAGAACAGAACAGAACAGAAAAGACTTTTTTTTTATCAAAAGGAACGAACTTTAAGCAAACCCTAGACGTGATTGCGTGAAGACGAATGTCAAAAGGATCAAATTTTAAACAAAGTAATATTCTTCAATTTTTTTTCTTCTACGAAACCTAGAAGGCTTCTTCTTCTTCTTCTTCCTCTTTGATTCTACTACTAATATATTTTTTTCAATATGTTTTTTAATCTTTTTATTAATGGAAAGTTACGCAAGGTCCCCTCTCTCACGCAACAACACAGAGTCGTCTTTCTCCCCTGTGTAGAAGAGAGAAGAGATAAAGGTTCTGTAATTATTTTATTTATTTTTATAAAGGTTAATTAATTTTAACTAATTTCACTGGGGTTCTGTAAATTTTTAAGTATTTCAGTTTCACCCCAATAGTTAAGTATTGTGGACAATTGGGCTGGGCATTTTATCCGTTATATTTGATTCGATTCGTTATTCGTTTCAATTCGATCCGAAAATTCTGGATATCCGTAAACTTTCGAATCAAAGCAAATACTAAAATTCAATATCCGTTAAAATCGAAGCAAATCACAAATATTAAAATTTTGGGAAGCGGATATCTGATCCGATCCGGAAATATATAAATATATGTATATCTTGATTATATTTATAATATTAAATGTATAAAATTATATAATTATTATTCTAGCACATGATTTAAACAATTTTATTCACATTATTACTTATATAAAAGTATTACATAAAAGAAAGAAAAAAAATATTACAATTATATTTTCTTTGTTCTTAAATTTTGTGTTATTATAATTGTAACTTAAACTTAAAAAAAAATTACAAAATATGTAAATTCACTAGTTTTTAATTTTTATTTTTTATATGATGCAAACAAATATTTTTGCAAAACAAATTTGTATCAAAATCTTAAGATTATTTGTATTAATCAAAATGGATGAGATATCCGTAAATATTCGTAAATATTCGCAAATATCTATTTATTTTCTGGATATCCGTTTTTCCGGATATCCGTATTTTTTCGAAGCAAAGCAAATACCAAAACTAGATATCCGTAACATTCGAAGCAAATCACAAATACCTTGAAAAATCCGGATATCCGATCCGTGCCCATCCCTAGTGGACATAAACCTTCTACATCATCAAAAGCATATCAAACCACATCAAATAAACTACTACACACAACAAAGACGATGAAATGAAGTTCAAAAACTTCACGATCAAATTATATAATATAACCAACAAAATTCACTCTTAAAAAAAAATCCAACAAAATTCACTTTAGTTCATTTGATACTAGGCAACCTCTAAATCAACATAACTTTGCATGTTAATCTTCTGGATTAGAACTACCATTGTGGCCATTAACAATATCTATCCGAGTTCATTGTCTTACGTATGAAATGATAAGCTTGTGTTTGTATTAGAAGTAGGTGGAACCACACATCTATGTATAAAAGTTAATTTTGCATTTTCATATCATATGATCAGTTTGATTGGCATGTGATGTGAGTTGGTCCACATACACACAAAAATGACCATAGGCGGTCTATTATTATTGGAGAGAAAGATGATTAAATTAGGTAATGCAAGCAGCTTGATATTGAAAATGATCTTCTTGAAAGTGATGTTATAATGCTTTTACACGTTTTTTTGGCTGTTACTGGTTTCAATTAAAAGGAAAATATTGTAATAAAATGAGAGGATAAAAAAGAAACTCATCATTTATGTTATCTCTTTTGGACTGTTTGCTTAGTTTATGCAAATAACTGCATTTTGCTTAAGTTAAGTTTTTCTAGATATCACAATCATATGTTGCATTCAATAGATGTATAAGTTCTCCACAACTTTTAAGATGTATATGGACCACCTCTTGATTGTTTATGGTATTTATGAATAGCTGTGGACAAAAAGATAACACCTCACATAATTCCAAAGGCTAATACTTATCATCAGATTGGTTGAGCTTCCACATGGGAATCTTTGAAAATTTTGTATTCTTCTATGCATTTACAAAGTATATAATCCTTAGATATGTTTCTAAACAAAAGGCGTGATGTGCATATGATGTATCGAAATTCTAAATACATATATAATATGTGGAATGAATATGACTTACTAGCTAATTGCTTCTGCTGTGTTTGTTAACATGAAATCATATCAATAATCATTTTCCTTCAATCTGTAAGAATATAAAATACGTAAAACAACACACTTAGCAACTACTACAATAGCTTATTATACGTAAGTGCATGAAAACTCTTGTTTCTGTGTTCCCATTTTGTAAAGATATTTAGAAACATAATCACTGATTAAGCAAATAAACATAACCACTGACCCAATGCTTTCATCGAACGGTCCAAAAACATTATTGGAAACTCAATTACCAGTCTAAAAATCTTAGATACTATTACTGTTTTCACTTTTCATAATACATTTGGTAATTAAGTATTGTTTCGTTATCTTTTTCAAGTAAAGGCATGAACGGTGTTTCGACACCTTTTATCAGGGAATTATTGTTCATTGAGGAACAATGATTAGTCATAGAAGTATGATTGAGGAAGAATGTAACATCTCCACGATATATAAAATAAAGTTACGAGAAAAATGTTATAACATACCATGCTATTATAATAGCAACTAGAACTTGACCCGCGCACCGGCGCGGGTTTAACTTAATTTGGAAAAA